GACTGTGGTTTTCTGCTTAGAGGGGGTTGGTTTCTTGACTTCCCTCAAGAATAAAGGATAATGCAAAGAACTATTGAATAAGGTCCTGGCTTCTCTTGCACAGTAGCTTGACCTGTCTGCTTTGATCTGCATCTTTGTGTAGGGGTCAGCTCCAAAGTCGGCAGGCTTCCCTGTTGTGGGACGGCGGGGTACCCGCAGGCAGATGAGACCTTGGTCTTGGTGTGCAAGCCCTAGGCCTGCTGTGCAGGAGGCTGGTTTGGTGTGCTGCAGCAGTGGCCATAGCAAGTCGCTTACCCAGTGGTCTTGATTGGCTAGTAGCTAGAAAGTGGGCTTTTAGAGAGAGACCCACGGTTGAATGGGTTTTTTAAAACCGTTGGTTGTAGACAATGAAAAGGTAGTTTGCCCTCTTCATGTCTATTTCCCTTCCAGATAGTTGCACCAGAAGAAAGCTGTTCTGTCCCACTCTCCTACTTTGCTCCTCTGTTAAAATAAAATCAGGGGTTGGCTTATGTCCCGCTCCTGAATACATGTAAAATTTGTACAAAAATATCTTCTATGAAAATGATTTGTAATCTGTAGACATTACTTGGGAGATGTCTTGAGATGTAAAATCCCATCCTTTGGATTGAGGGTTTTTTGTTTTTCGCCAAATAAATCCAGTCTTTAAAGTTGAAAAAAAATGCTTGATATTTAGAAGTACAGAATTATGACGAATCTCCATTGTTTCACTCTGTCAGGTTACTTAATTGAATGAGGACATGTTAAAAAAAAGTCATTTATCGAGAATAATTCATCAAGAGACCCCCAGAAGTGAAAAGTGAGCTGAAATTCTTAGCCCTAATTCTTGGACACTGTGAAATCCAAAGATTTCTTGCAATAAATGTTGTTTAAGAGGGAAATAAAGTTATGAATCTTAAAAAGATGACCCAAAGTAATAAATAGGTGGCCTGAGGGTAAACAAGGATAGCTAATCAAGTTACATGCTGAATATTCCTGTTGACATCCAAGGCCATGGATTATGCTCAGTAAGAAACTGACTAAAAGGCCATTTGAGTTGGTAATGATGGTACCCCCTTTTGATTTTTTAGCTTTCCTAGTGCCTAACTGATATTAGATACTTTCTAGATATATTGGTTAGCAAATCACTTTGCTTACTTTTTAATTGGGCTGCCTTATTATTAAGCATTTAAAAAGTTCTTTATATTCTGGATGCAAGTCTTTTTACCCACATGCAGCTTTTCTTTCCTTCCTTCCTCCCTCCCTCCCTTCCATTCTTTATTTTGTTCTGTATTACTGTGTCCTAGGCTAGCCTGCTCCAAATTACCTATCTACCTGTCTCAGCTTTGCAGGTACTTAGAGTGCAGTGTGCACCAATACTTTTCATTTTTTAAATGTTTATGAAAATACTGTTCATTTTTGTAAAGGCAAATTTATCTTTTTTTTCTCTTATGGCTTCTGTTTTTGGTATCATATCTAGATATATTCTATGTAACCAAAAGTCTTAAAATATTTCTCACTTTGTTTTGCATTGCTATAAATGATCTGTTCTTAGGGTTTTTCTTTATGATGTTGGTACAATCATTTACTTGAAAGATTTTTTTCTAATTGAGTAGTTTGGCACCTTGATTAAAACACAAGGTTTATTTCTATAATTAAATCTGTCCATGACTCCAAATGGCTATTCTACTGAAAATTCCACACTATTTTGATATATTGCATTTCCATTTAGATTTAATGACTGTCTTGTCAACTTTTACCAAAAAAATCCGTGAGTCTTCTAATCTGTAAGCACAAATTACCTCTCTGTTCATGGAAATGTTCTTTAATAACTTTCAACAATGCTTTATATGTTCTGCTATATAAGTCTTAAGTTCTTTTTCTTAAATTGTGGTCACAGATCTGGATCTGCTTCGTTTATATAAATAAATTTTCTTTCATTTACATTTTGAATGTTTGCACAATTATGATTAAGTTTTATATATTGATCTTGTATCTTGTGACTTTACAAGTTTTCTAGTAATTTTGCATTGGGTATATATTTGCATGTTCTTTAAGAATTTTTACACTGAAAAGGATGACACCTACAAATAAAGATGTGTTTATTTCTTCCTTCTTCCACTGCCCTCCCCTCAGAAAAGAAAAAAAAGAACATGACTATAAATTATTTGGACTATTCCTTTATTATAGAATTAGAAGAGATAGGTGAGGATTATTTATGGAAATCCCAGAATCAATCAACATTCAAACAGCTCTACTTGATAAAGTTTGTCATACAATCTCAGGACTGCAGTGGGGATTTCTTAACACAATCAGAGTATGTGCATTCAGATCTCCTTATTCTGAAGTTTATGGAATAATGTAGATATACAGCAAGCTACTGACAAAAGAACTAACTGCTTGTGAATGCAAGTAGAGATTGGCACAGTGGCTAGTGAGGCACTGATGGATGAAGAGATATTTCTCGGTGCTACAAGATGAGAGCAGTAAGGCCCTATCTGGGATTCTATAGAGAAAACTAAGCACAGTTCTTCAGGACCAAGACCAAAGTACAATGGCACTTCATGTTCTGAGAGACCTTGATGGCAACTAAGGTATATGCAATGACTAATCTTCAGGAGATCCATTATGGGGAAATACATCAGCACCAAGAAGCAAGGAACAAAGAACTGATAATTACCAGCAAATACTGAGCAACACTAGATGTTAACATTTCTAAGAAGCTGTGTCTTTCTAGCACATCCATTCCATTTTTGCAGAAGCATCATCTACATCATCTATTTATACATAGAGCTGATATGTGCCAAGAGTACAAGACAAGCAAAAGAACACCCCAGTTCTTGAGTTTTGTGCACAGATGGTGATAATGTATATGCACAGGATTTTTCACATGAGTTGGTTGCAAAAGTTCTATGCCATCCCATTGCTTTCTGAAGTCTTCAATTAGACAACGGCACCCAAAGGTGGTCCATTATAGCTGGGTAGCAATTGGCAGTGATTTTAAATGGTGAGACCTAGAGAATCACAGCTACTGCAAGCTGGAAAGTCAGTTCTTAGTGGAGATTTGTCTCTGTTCAAGTTGCAAGAATATGCTGCTGTAAAGTAACTATGAATAGTACACCATAAACAAATGTCCTTAAATAACTTTCTTGGTTATTAACCTAAGCCATTAGATGTATCCATATATATGTTCAAACCTAAAATAGAAACATTAGTGTAGATATGACTAAGCTTGGGTTGGCAGGCATAAAGTATGTTAATTGCCGAAGAGGCTGATCCTCTAAGAAAGGTGCCAGTAAATAAACAGTGTTCAAGTCAAATGACTATACAATCTGGTTTGCCAATAGCCAAGAAGTTCAGCATGTTGGATAAGCAGGTGTCTTTAGATGGCAACAAAATATATAGCTGCATGGAAGGGTGGTAGATATTCAGGTCCAGGAAGATTGGCTTGTATCAGCACTAGAGTCTGATTAATAGGTAGAACAGAATCCAGATTCTGGTCTCTCAATGACAAAAATATTGGTAGAATATGATGATGCCACTATGGTTGCAAACAAAGAACCTGAACAAACGAGTCACTAAGAAACAGATCAGTAAAGAAGAGGATAAAAGCTTTGGGCCCAGTCCTAGGCACACAAGCTATGGGACATGGGCCATCAGAGTCAACCAAGATTTCATCCATTGGTAGGAATGTGAAGGTCAACACATTGTCAGAGTTGTTTTTGTGTATGTGTGTCTCAGGCTGGAGAGACTTCTATCTGCAAACCTTCAGAATTCTTGAAGGAATTGGCTGTAACTATAAAGTTTCTATTCATTATCTTCACCATTGTTGTTGGGTCAAGTTTGGTGGTGGGCTGCCTTCCAACTAACAAGTTCTGGTTGTTTAAATTTCTGGAGATGTAAATGTTCATGCCTGTTTTTAAGGTGATGCCATAGTAACTCATTTGTATTTTGAAGTTTGTGAAGGTTTATAAATCACTAAGGCCAATGGTGAAAGGGGTATGAGTTTACAAAGTGGTTTCCTATTCTCCTCTTACTAGTGAGCTACATTTTTCTCCTAGCTGGAGTTCGAGAACGTTTAGCAAGGCATTCTCTTGTAAAGTGACCAGCCTGGCTACAGTAGAGACATAACTGAGTTTCTTGCTGGCGGGCTCTCTTGGCTGGGGTGACAGGCGGTTGGGCTCCCTGAAATTGCTTGGGCTCATCCTTGGGTAGTGGACCTTTGGGGCTGAAGAAGGATTGGTGCTTGGTTGTGGAAGCAAATATTGGAACCTGACTTTCTGACTGTAGGAGTTCTGGCCTGCCTTTGTAGTTTTTGTCCAGCTGAATGCACTGAGTGATCAAATCTGGTAGATTGCCCATTATATCTGTGATTTCTTCTTCATGGGTGGGGTCAGCTTGTCCCTTTTGGAACTGGTCATTCTGACTCGTCTCACTGTCACTCAGATTTTGAGCAAACCCTTCAAAAGTAGTAGCATCCTGCTGAGAGTTGTCTCTACTGTCAACCTTAACATTGATAGGAGGGATAATTTCTTGTTTCATGGGTTCACCACATGACTGCTGTAACTCAAGAACAAAGTTTTCATATTGTTTCAATAGATTACTCTGGTTGGACTCAGATACAATGTCACAACTTTGCATTTGCTGGGATAGGTAGTCAAAAAAATGCTTGACTCGGGCATCATCTGCAGGATTGGAAATCTTGAGAGCTGTCAAATAGGTAGTCACACGAGCAAGAAACCCTGTGACACTGGTTGACTCATCATGAAATTGAGGGAGATGGTCACCTGAGTAGGGTAGAGACATCACTGGAGTATCTGGGACAGGTACAACTTGCCCTCTTAAAGTGGGGTTATCATCAGTTGGATGCTGCATTTGTGGCTGCAGAATCAGATTGTCTCTTCTCAAAAAGGAAGGCCCTGCCTTTAAGGTAGGTGGGGATTCTGTACATTTCTCCATTGTCTTGTGTCTCCTGGAATTATATAGAACTGAATAGAAATTCAGTATCTGCACACAAGACCAAGAAACAGGCAGTGGTTTGGTTTAGGATCAGAAGACAGTGACATGTACAATCAGGAAACAGCTGTTCAATGTCACTAGAGAATGCTGAGGGTTGAGCTGTAGAGATGCCACAAAAATGTTATCTTCTACTCATCACTGTTTCTTCTTCATGGACAATGTCAGTGTTCTACACATTCAGAAGACATATATAACCTTGGGACACAGAAGAGAAGATTTGAATTAATAAATATATAATACCATAGACAGTATTTTTCTGCTCTCTTTCTTTGTAAGCATAGACATTAAACTTCATACTAATCTTTTCTTCTAAAATGTCTTTTATAATCATTGTCAAAGGATTTTAGAGTTCAAAATAGTATTGGTGATCATCCAGACCAACAAAATTTATAATTTCACAGATAAAAAACAGAGACTCAGAGAAACAAAAATGTTTGTCCAAGGTCACCCAGCTAGTTAATATCAGATTTGGTATGCTCATCAGGGCAGCAATCCAAAATAGCACTTCCTCTAGCTATTCATATTCAGCTTGAGTGTGATGATACATCATGCTCCTGATCATTCAAAACCTGATATGGGGACAAGAGCACTGGATCTTACCAGAGAGATTTTTAGGAATACAGAAAACCAAGTCCCATCAAGGACCCACTGAATAACTTTTCACACTTGGCCAAGATTTTCAATGTGATTAGAGTGTGCACTGTGGTTTGAGAATTACTTTGTTGAAATTGGAATAATCACTGACTGTATTTCGTGCTCACTACTTTAAGCCTGTATTTCTGCCAGATATCTGAACGCAGTGTTGTTAGTTGAACTGCTTTTTTTTTCTACCATGTCCTTGTCTGAGGTCAAATTTTTGTTGCCATGGAAATAATTAGGACATCACAAGTAAGATGAGCACATAAGATTGAGAACCTCACAAATAAGAACTGGATGTTCTTAAAGGTATAAAGATCAAAATGTTCAACACTCTTCCAGGCACTGATAAAAAGGATGAAGTAACCAACAAAAATTAAAAATAATCCCCCAACATTTGACATGCCAGTTAGTTTGAACTATTCTTTAATTCATTTCCTTCCATTGACCTTCCTTGTGTAGCATACAATTGAAATGTACTTAAATTGGCTACTAGGGGGCAAAAAAGTAAATCACTGAATCTTTCAAACTATCAGTCTCTCAATGGATAGGCCATGGATCTAGGAAAAAACAAATTATATTGTTATGCTATAGGGGCATAGCAACAAAATAACTCCTCATGACATTCTGCTGTACCCATAGATCAGTGTCTTTATCAACCATCGCCAAAGAAGCTTCTTTCTTCAGTAGATGAGAACTAATCCAGACCCATAACTAGACAATATACAGATGCTGAGAGACATTGAGATGTCTGTCCTAAATGGGAAGTCTTCATCAACCTCTCTTCCCCAAGGATTCAGGAAGCTACGTAGAAAAGGAGGCAGAGCCTCGGGGATGGTCGGAACAAAAGAAAACTTCCAGGACTGATGAATATATGAACTCATATAGACTGGGGCGGCATCCATAGGACCTGCACAAGTTTAAGCCAGACAGGGCCCCAGTGCTTGGAAGGGGAAGTGGATACCAGCTCCCATACCTAGCCAAGAAGCTATCTCCAATTGACATTCACTTGCAAAGGAATAGTTTTCTCCAGTGGAGTCTCATTGGGTATATTAACCACACTTAAGAGTGGACCCATGCCCAGCAGTAGATGGTCAACACAAAATGAACTCAGTAGTATTTTTGTAGATCATTTTGTCTCATATTGCTTTGGGTATTTTTTTGTCTTACAGACATTTTGCTTTTATATTAATGATTGCTGTACTTGTAATTATTATTATTATTATTATTATTATTATTATTATTATTATTAAGGAATTTTCTATTCATTTTACATACCAATCACAGATTCCCCTGTCCCCCCTCCTCCCACCCCCCAGCCTTCCCCTCAACCCACCTCCCTTTCCCACCTCCTCCAAGGCAAGGTCTTCCATGGGGAGTCAGCAGAGCCTGATAGATTCAGTTGAGGCAGGTCCAAGGCCCTCTTCCCTACATCAAGGTTGAGCATAGTGTCTCACCATAGGCAAATGATTTCTGATTTGATGTTTTTCGTGTGTGTATATGTTCCTTGTAGATTTTTCTTTGTTTTTGTTCCCTGGATTGTTTATGTTTGCCTGTTTGATTTCTAAATTGAGAAATAAATGGAGTGAAGTTGAGGGAGGGGAAAGTGTGATGAGGATATATATATATATATATATATATATATATATATATATATATATATGTATATATATATATGTATGTATATATCCTCATTGTGATCAATACCTGTAAACCATGAACTTGATGCACTTGGGAGTCCAAGGCAGGGGGAGTAAGAGTTTGTGGCAAGATACAGGCTAGCCAGAGCTACAAAGTGAGATGTTATCAATAATAAGCAAGTAAAGAAGACTTTTCGTAGGTTTCATTGAACATTCCCATGCTCTAGACCAATGGAAAATATTGTAAAACTGATACAGTATAAAATTGGGGTCTAGAAACTCTGTGGTAAACACTAGTAGGTATTAATTTTGACCATGAATAACTCATTTATGTGTCAGTTTCCTTTTTAATATATATAGTGAAAATGACTATTGTATCTATGACAGAGAATTGTTCTGTTGGTGTGCTATAAGATAGGTACTCTAGGTGGCAAAAATTGGTAGGATTGCTTCAAAAATTATTTCAGTATAGTTGAGTAATGAATGCTTACTCATGAGGCCTACATTTGTCATGTGCCACCAAAGGAGAAAGATAGGAGCCATAGCCTCATTTCTTGTTTCCTTTTCATATCTTAGCATTCTGGAATCCTGTCCTACCTTCTAGATATCTCCTTTCTAGGTGCCCATCTGTGACTGCATCCTCGCCATTCTTGCTAGGTTCCAACTTAGATAATAGGATGTTAGTATGAGCTAATGATAAGTTCATCCGAGGATATTACTTTTTACTCAATATACATAACAATCAACTCAGTTCCAATACCTAGAAAGCCTGCTTCAGTGGGTCTGGGGTGGATTCCAGGAATCAATACCTTTACAACCTGGCCTGCTCTTGACATGTGGTGTAGATGGTGCTTGTGCAAAGTACAGTGCCTCAAGGAAAAAAGATGTATTAGTAGTGTCACAGAGAATTAAGGATTGGAAGAAGTTATATTTGAAAATAAGAAACTGCTCGGGTGATATGGCAGAGGTGACACCCTATTCTACTTTTGCATAAAGCCATAAACAGCTAACACCATCTTTCAATTAGCAGTAGAATGCAATAAACAATGGGCTATACAGAAAGAATGACCTGGGCCCAAATCTTGGCTCAACCAAAAGCTGTATGGTCTGGACAAGTTATGTAATCTCTCTGAAAATCACTGTCCAAACTTTAAAATATTCCTCATATACTATAAGCACAGCATTTCTCTCTATATGTATATGTATATGTATAAAATGCATGTGTATGTGTGTACATGTGTATGTATATGTTCATATGTATGGATCACAACATTTCTCCTATGGCGTTGTTCATGTTAAATGCATTCCAGTTGGTAACGTATAGCCTCTGGACTAAGTCAAGAATGAATTTTAAATTATAGTTTGTCTTTTGTCCTAACAGTTCTAAATGAGGTTCTCAAAGTATAATGTTTCTCATATTCACCAAGAACATTTTCCCAGTATGATAAACAGATCTATTCATGAAAAGGAAATGTTCTTAACAGTTACCTCATAGTGGTTTTGATAGTTAACTGAAATGAAAGGAGATCTGCACAGCTTCATGCAGATGGCAAAGGCCCCATAAATGTTAGCTATCATTTTTCCAGGTCCATAGTTGTGGCATTTGTGTTTTATAATTCAAGTTTCACCTTTTCAGATTTTTGAAAGGTAACACAGGGCATTACTGTTTATTATATAACATTTCCTGCAGTATCTGGGGAAACATCCCATAATTAAGCCATTAAAATTTCAGCAGGAAAAATGTCTGAATATTCATACTGAATTGGATATAGATGAAATTCAGGTCAAATCAGGTCAAGTTTTGCTGCCAACTGGGTTTTAGCAACAAATTAATGAAAAAGTGACTTACATCTCAGAGACCTCTTTGATTTCAGAATTGAAATAAGGGATTGTGGACCTCCAGTAAACTCTTTTTAATTGGAAGGTTATGATTATAACTTTTCCTTTATGTATTTGCCTTTTGCCCTTTCCTTCTACCCTCAGCGATTTCATAACTTTGTGAGGGCTCTTGATTCTATACAGAATTATGTATTCAAGGTGGTTTAGCATTTAATTTTCCTAATTACATAGCAGGGGTGAAACACTTGGTAAAATTAAAAGCATTAGCCCACATGCAAATCATACAATGCCACTGTTGTCAATGGCAAATACGCATTCCCTCAGAGAAAAATCTACCTGGTCATTTCAGTTGGGAAATTAATTTTTCCTGAGGTCATTGATCTTCTATTGCTATTGCAAAGACTGCCAGTCTGAATGATCTAGCCTTAAAGAGACAAAGCAGAAACAAGGCAGCACCCTCAAATAAATATGTTTTAGAGCATCAAACTAGTGTGGCTGGACCAAATCTGATACAAAACTGTGTAGATAATAAGCTTTTTCTTAATGTGTTTCAGCTATGACAACCATTACAACAAATAATTTTAATAAATAATTGTGAGCCATTTTGCTTATATTCACTTGGCTCAAAAACAATAGTTTCTCGGGACACAAAATTCCTTTCTAAAACCCTTTGAGACCACATTTGAAGAAATCCCTTGCTATAGATAAGATCTAGAATATCCCACAAAAGAACATGCATTAATTGTTTGGCTTTCATCTTGATTGAAGTACAAGGTGGTGGGACTGTTAAGAAGTAGGGCTTGATGAAAGATCTGGGTTACCAATACAAGTTTTCAAGGGGATACAGGGTTCATGGTCCATTTTTATTACTGTGTTTTCATGTCCTGGCCTTTATTAAAATGTGCTTCCACCTTGCCCAAAACCCCAAAGCAACAGGGCTGACTACATACAGATCAAAACCTTCAAACCAGTGAGCCAAATTAATCTTCTTCTCCCTGAACATGATTGGTTCTAGTAACAGAAAAATAACTATCTCAGGCCAGAAGCACTCTATTGCCTATAAGAGAACTGTGTGACCTTGCACTATTTTATTTTTAAGCTATTCTTGGGTCTGAGATCATGTAACCACCCAGAAAAGCCATAATTCTCTCTTGAACTTTAAAATGTCTAAGGAAATATGTGGTCATAGGTGCTAAATTGAGGCATTGATCCCTCTCATAAGGGTGAGCAGAGGAGCATAGTATTGGGACTTCTCTGGAGATATGAGTGTGTACTTACTTCTACCATTAAGAAGGATAACTTTGACAAGACATTTTCTTTCTATCTCTGGACCTAAGTATCTTTATCTTAATACTGAAGAGTATTGGGCTTATTAAACTTTAGCATACCCTAGAAATTATAACTCACAAGGTTATCAGAGGAACACAGGAGTGCTTTTATAGGCATTCCTGCTAATATTGATTTAATTGGTTCTCAGATTTGATCTTGGGAATATTGCGCTCACACACACACACACACACACACAATTACAAGGTTCTCAGAAACTCCTGGGATTTTACCATATAGAACTTTTTATTTCATATATGGAGAGTATGGGGCATTGGCTCTGGGGTGAAACTTAGTAGCATAAATATTAAATAGGCTCTACAGGTGATGCTGATGCAGAAATTTCAGTTAATACTTTTGAGAAACTTTAGGTTCAATGCTTTCTAAGGGTACATTTGATTTTAGCATTATCCACATTTTTGGATGGAGGGTGGAGACTGATCTTCACTCTTTAGCTTAGACTGCATTGAAACTTGCTCTGTAGCCAGGGCTGGCCTCAAACTAACCTTCCTAATTTATCAGCCTAAGTGCCAGGATTCCAGGTATGGACCTCAATACTTAAGTTTGTCATTTTGAGAAGTAAAAGATATGTGTCTCCCAAAGCAGCCCTTAAAGTATAATAAGTGAATTGGTTTTTCTAAGCCTTCATGACTTCCTTAAACAGTGTCCCAGCACAGGTGAGGTCTGAGCATGTGACATTTGACTAGTTTGGAGATAAAAGCAATGGAGCTGATCCTGTTCATGAGACTTTGTGGCTCTATTCCAAAGGAATACGACATTCTACTCTTCTCTATCTATGAATAACAGAACAGTCATCCACATACCCCCTATCATAACTACAACATCCCAGCTGATATGACTTATGTCCTTTTGGCCATTGCAATGAATCAGATCTTTCAGACTTTCACTTAATTTTCAATCTTCTTTCATCCTCAACTGGAGCCATAGCTTAGCTGCTTATGAAGTTACAAGTACCATGATTATTCTGTCCCAGTTCCTTGGTTTTCCATTATAATGTTTCTTAAGTCCATCAAGGAGGCACATTTGCTGTATGAACATTCCTGCTACATAGCCTTCCCTATATACATGCACTAAGATTTATATCTCTCAATAACCACTTTCATGTTCATTATTTCATTTCCTGGCAACAATTTTGCTGTTTTCCAAGTCATAAACCAAGCTACTGTGATGGTAAATCTAAGTGAGGGAGCAAGGGAGAAGTTTGATACATGAGCAATGTTCTTCAAATGACTCTCATGTAGACTGCTTTATTCTCTGAGATGAGGAAAATACTATTTAAAGATAAATTTGAGATGGTGGGAATAGCGATGGGATGATTATCTTTGTGATATAAGTTCTGAGTCTATATCATTGGAGAATAAGGAGGACTAGAATTCCTCCATGGTGAGATATTAGAACAGAGACTCCAAGAATCAGAAAACAGTGAGGCATCATAAAAATCATATTGTTCTTTCAAACCCACAGATTCTATAACTTGCCTGAACACAGAGATAAAATATGAGGAAATGGCTGTTAAGTGATATACAATCTAGATTCTCACCTGCATGTCTACCACTTAACCCAAACTTTACCCACTGTGAGTCCATACTACAGTCCCTATTCCTAGAGGAGACTTAATGGCTAAGATATACAGGTCTTGTTTACCAATTTGAAGGCTTAGTTTGGTTTCTTTGTCTGTTCCCCATGCTCACATCATTTCAAACAGTACATGCTGTTTCAAGTAAACAATTAGAGAAAGAATGGAAAAATTCTGATCTACAGATCGCACATAGTCATAAAATGAGCCCTTTAAATTTGAAATGAAAGGCCTTCTCCTGCATTTGTGCTCCCTGCTGTCTCTTTCATCTTTAATTCATTAAGTGCAATTCACTTAGTGCTGAACACCACTTGCAACTGATGAGCTGACAGAGCCTAGCCCACTTAGATTCAAACTTCTCTTGCATTTGCAGGTCCCTGTGGTGTTGGGTTACCTGCCACTCTGTTCAAGGTAGAGAAAGCTTAATATACACAACTAAGTATACATCATGTTTTGTGGTTGAAAGAAATCTTGTAAAAGCCTCACATTAGTAGTGGTTCTCAATCTTTGGGCCACGACCCCTTTGGGGTTGCATGACTCTTTCACAGGGGTCTCATATCAGATATCCTGCAGATCAGACATTTACCTTATGGTTCATAATAGAAGCAGAGTTGTGAAGTAGCAACAAAAATAATTTTGTGGTTGATGGTCACCATAGCATGAGAAACTGTATTAGGAAGGTTGAGGACCAATTGATTAGAGAAATCTTATAGATAAGATGTGTGAGGCTCAAGAAACAGAAATTGGTTTGAGTCATATTTATGAGCCACTAGCCACTATATTATGGTCTAGTCCCAGGCCCTTACTGGTTAGTCTCTTTCTCCGCAAAAAAATAAATAAATAAATAAATAAATAAATAAATAAATAAATAAATAAAAATAAAAATAAAAAAAATAAAAAAAAACACTTTGGCTAGGAGTAAGCAATGCAGAGATTATATTTTCCATGACACTCTGAAACTGACACTCTGTTATTCACTCTGAAACTGACACTCTGTTATTCACTCTGAAACTGACACTCTGTTATTCTGTAGCTAGTAACATATCACATGCATGTAGAGTATTTTGTGTGTTCTAAGTGTCTGGCTACTATTTCATTTATCTCTTTGATAAGCTGTGACATGGGTAAAGCATGACTTCCACATTCAATCCAACTGGGTAAAATAAGGAGAACATGAAGTTTGCAGGAAAGTGATGGGGGGATTCTGATGGGAGGTTAGATCGGAAAGCAAAAAGCGGGTATGATTAAGTTACATTATATACATGTACGAAATTTTCAAATAATAAATAAAAAAAGAAAAATGTGTAAAGAATTACAGTGACTTGATGTGAGATTTGGAACTGGAATCCTCAGAATGTGCATCTACCATAACTGTGCCCTTGGAAGCAGTTTTAAATAGTATTTTTTTAAAAAAAAAATCTGGAAGTTTGAAATGAGATACTTTGAATCAAAATCCCAATCTCACTTAACCCAGACTGTTAGACCTTGAGCAAGTTACCTCTGTGAGCCTTAGTTTTCACATCTGTAACATCTATGTTGCTGAGAGAACCATATGTGTTTACATATAACTGAAGCAATAACATCTGCACAATTACTGGCATTTAGAAACCATTTATAACAATGTATTTTCTGCAGACACTGGAAAGCTGCTGTCCAAAAATCCTGGTCACTAGCATTTGTTTCTTTCTAGGGTTCTGTATTGTTATAGAAAAGTTATTTGTGCCAAAGTCTCCAGATGTGCAGCAAGGAGGTGGCTCAATATAAGTCATTTAATATGTTACCTGCCCACATGTTTCTCCATTGCAATACTTGTATCACTTGTAATGAATTATTAAATGTCTATGTCTCTTATTAAACTGTGAGATAATAAAAGAAAAATCCAACTTCATCTTTTTTTAAACTCTATTTTTTGTTTTTTATTATTTTATTTTATTTTACAATACTATTCAGTTCTACATAACAGCCACAGATTCCCTTGTTCTCCCCCTTCCTGCCCTCCTCCCCTTCCCCCCAGCTCACCCCCCATTCCCACCTCCTCCAGAGCAACGCCTGGAGAGATGGCTCAGCCGTTAAAGGCTAGGCTCACAACCAACTTCATTTTTATAAACCCAGGACACAATATCATTCTTTGTATACACAGAGGCACTCAGTAATTCTTCTTTGAATTTATAATATTTGTCCACAGCAGCCATAGACACAACTAGATATTGCAGAGCTAATTTTACTGTAGCTACTCGCTATATAATCTTTTATTTTTTGCTAATATAAGCAGATAATCCATCCATGTACCAGTGTATCTTAATGTTTTTATACCTCAGATGCATGAATTAACCATATAGACATAATGTAGGTAAAGAACTCCGGCATTTGTGTTAGTGTTCAGGAAGCAGATGTCCAAACCTTATACTTACTCGGTGACCTTTGGAGAGCAGTGAGAAGAAATATGTTTTGTTTGGATGAGTATGTGATTTAGATTGTGCCTATTGCCCTCTTGGAAAAGTTTCCCACTATCCCAGGCCCTAAATTGAGATTGTGTAGAGACTTGGAAAGAAAATATGTGCATATGAATTAAGACAAGAGTTATTTAAAAACATGGCATTTAAAGCTAAGTTTTAGTGAAGAGGAGAGAATCACTTACCTCTCATGTATTGTTCTCTATGTATAATTGGGCCACAAAGTTGAGCAATGAGTTGAGCAAAAGGGAGATTCTAGAGAATATGAAAACATAAAGTAGAAACAGGTTGGATTATCTCAGTGTAGCAATCCTATTTCTATATCACTATTACTAGAGGAATCCATTTCCATATGTTGGCTTTCCTTAACTCCTTGACATTGAGACAGACACTGATTTATGTACATCTGTGGACTATACCAGTTGCTTAGACGCTGGCATTCTTCTTAGGCATGTTAATGTCCTTAAGCTTCATTTTCATTATTCATAATTGGAGCCTCTATTATCCAGCACAGATGGTTGATCATTTTATTTAATAAATCTTTAGTGAATGCCTGTTTTGTGCCAGGCACTATATTGGACACTAGGAAACAGTAATGAGCCTCCATGAAGCATAAGCATTCCAGAACAATGCAAATCATGCATCTAAACTGCTTAACTTAGCATCTGTTTTATAACATCCACTTAATATGAGATAGCTACTCCTTTAATACTTAAGATATGAGGATATACTAATTAGCAAAAGCTTTAGAATTTGATCTGGATTTCAATTCTAGTTTAATGACATCAACACCATGTAATAGCTCTGAGAATTTAGATGTGTTTTAGACTTCATTTGTGCCAAAATTCTTCACCTATAAACTAATAATGGTCATAACTTTCTGTAAGTTTGGGGAATACAACTTATCCCTTCTAAAGGCCAGTAACTCTGGTCTGAAACTGGGCTAGGCTGATCAAAAATAAAATGCACCTCATACTTATTGAAATTTACTAAAGCAAAAAGGAATGTAAATGAAAGAATATTGTTACAAAGACCAGAAACAGGTCACATTCTGTGTACAGATATTGCAGAGACTGACACTCCATAGGTAGGAATTAAATAGCTCCCTGCTTAGAATCCACCACAGGTGAGAAAACACTGTTGTTATACTTATCCTCTTTCCTTATAATGGGCTCAAAATGCAAACTTGGAACCCCATACTCAAGGAAGGCCATGACTACTACTCTCTTTCTCATAAGTCATATTCCAAATAACATCTAACTTTCTATGTATAAAGCTGGCTTAAAATATATTTTAATGGCTATATAATTTACAAATATAAAATGAATTTACTCGAAAATCTTAGTTAATGATTTTGTTTTTGTTTTTGGAGACAAGGTCACACTATGTAGCCCCAACTGGCATGGAGTTCACTATAAAGCAGGCTGGCCTTGAACCTATAGAGATCCACCTGCCTTTGCCTTCACAGTGCTTGGATTAAAGGCCTGCACCATACCTAGCCTCAGTTAATGGGTTTTGGCAAATATATGTATCTGTTTAACACCGCCACATCTGAGGTATAGAAGATTTCTATCACCCCAGATTCAGTCATGTTATTTTTCAGTTAGTTTGCCCATCATTTGTTCTAAGCCTCAACCAATTTACTTTTAGGTTGACTTTCTCTCAATATTTAATATAAGTTGTATTATACAATATGTGGCTTTTTGTGTCTGGTTTCTTCATTTATGTTTTCAAAGGTTCACCCATGTTGTAGCATGTCTCAATATTTCATTCTCTTACTTGCCAAAACTATTCCAGGGAATGGATATAACACATTTTATTTCATGTTACTGATGGAGTTTCTGAGATGTTTTTCATTTCAAGGAAATACAAATAAAGCCCCTAGGAAAATTTGCATAGCGTTCTGGGAGCATACATATAATTTCTTGTTCCCAAATTCATTTAAGTACATTTGACAAATAAGAATACTGTGTATTTAAAGTGTAACATGGTATTTTGATATATGTATGCACAGTGAAATGCTTATTAAAATCATTTCTTTTGATTAAATACATAGAAGATATTTATGAGATAAGTCAATGTTTACCTTAAGAAACTACAAACCGTTTCCTAGAGTGCCTGTACCATTTTGCATTCTTAACAGCAGTTTATTATTATTACTATAATATACCTTGTCAATACTTGTCATTGAAATGTTCAGCCTTTATATTTTATATTTTATGTGTGCCTGTTGTCATGGGTAATTTTGAATGACAGAAGTTGTTTGTACCTTCTCCTATTTTTTTTACTATAATATTTACCTTTATATCTATTTTGCTTTTTTATAATTAAAACTGCATTGTAAAAAACATTCCAAATAAAAATTTTATGCAGTGAGATTAGTCAGACCCAAAGTCTATACATGATCTTCTATACAATTAGAAGTTCTAAGGATGAGGGGCCCCCAACTGGATCAGGCCCTCTGAATAGGTGAGACAGTTGATTGGCTTGATCTGTTTGGGAGGCATCTAGGCAGTGGTACCAGGTCCTGGGCTCCCTGCATGAGATAGCTATTTGAAACCTGTCACTTATTACAGGGATGCTTGGCTCAATCTGGGAGGAGGGGACTGGACCTACCTGGACTGAGTCTATCAGGTAGATCTCAGGCCTCAGGGGTGGCCTTGATCTGGAGGTGGTGGGAATGGGAGGTGTGCTGGGGGGAAGGGGAGGGGGGCAGGAAGGGAGAGAACAAGGGAATCTGTGGCTATTATGTAGAACTGAATAGTATTGTAAAATAAAATAAATAACTAAATAAATAAATAAAATAAAATAAAAAAAGAAGTTCTAGAGCTTCACACCGGCTTTCAAACATTTAAATATTTATTTAAACCTAGTATTATTTAAACCTAAAAACATTAATTATATTTTATGCATTTATCCACAACAAAAAGTCAATTACAGAATTAAAACTGGATAATTAGCTTCACACCCTCTTTCATGAATCATGGGTCCGCTATGTGGATTTAAATCCTCCCTCATTACCTAATATTTATCTTTTCTCATTCTCCTCTATACATTTTATACTGTATCCACATCTATGTTTGTTTACATATGTATATATGTGTATATATGCAGAGAGAGAAAGAGATGGAGAATAGGGAAATGAAAGATTATAGATAAAATCTAATCTACAGACTGAACAAGCTGTGCTTACATATTTATACACACATACATTAAATTAACAATACTCAATGAAAAAGAGGCCATGAATTTGAAATAAACAAGGAGAAGGTATATGGGAGGGTTTATAGGGCAAAAAAAGAGGGAAGGAGAAAATGATGTAATTATATCATAATCTCAAAATTAACAGAAATAATAAAATAAATAGAATGAATTAGTTTTACAAGGATGGAGTGTAAAGGTTTTTATACCTTTTATGAAATGCTGTAAGGAATGATAAGAAAAGGTATACTGGGAAGTAAGGACCAGTAAAACTATATTTACATATCCAGAAAGCATTTGTGGGGTAAAAGTGAACAATTCTGTGAACAACAAACATTAATAGCATGGATAAATCAAAGCAATGGGTTTAGAATTCTACAAGATGGATTTTCTGCCATTGAGAACTGTGGTGATATATTGTGTACCCCAATATATTATATACCCTAGTAAACTTACCTGGTGACCAGAGGACAGAGCCAGCCACTAAATTAGTCATAGAAGTCAGGCAGTGGTGGCACAAGCCCTTTAATCCTATCACCTGGGAGGCAGAGATTCGTTTGGATCTCTGTGAGTTTAAGGACACACTGGGAACAGAGCCAGGCAGTGGTGACACACACCTTTAATCCCAGGATTTGAGATCTCATGTCTTTGCTTGGGAAGGACACATACCTTTAATCCCAGGAAGTAATATGGCAAGACACAGAAAGGTATACAAGTTGTGAGGAAACAGGAAGTTTTGCTCTGGAGGCTGAGGAGTTGGTAAGGTTAAGTTGGCTGTAAGCTTGTTCTGCTTCTCTGATCTTTCACGTTCACCCCAATATCTACTCTGGGTTTTCTATTAATAAGACTGTTTAGCAATTCGTGTTACAGAGAACTATCTAATACTATTGTACACATCTTGGATAAGAACGGAGCTTTCAGTCATTGCATATGGGAATATTTTAAAGCAGAGCCAGGCATTAAATGAGGACTGCATGGATGTCTCCAACTATTTCTATGAGAATATAAAACAAGTAATAGCTAAATATAACCTCTGGCATTTATCTAAATGTGACCTGTGCTTTGTTCTGTCTTTGGTTCCCCTCCAGTCCCTACTACTTGTTCTTCATAGAGTAAATAAAGAGTTTCTCTTTCTTTGAGTTGTCTGACTTGTATGTTTACTAAATAAGAAGCTCAGGTGATGGACTTGCAGACAAAACAAGTTAATAAGGTATTTTTGTCTATAATTCTCTGCTTGTCACAACTCCCATTAGATATAGCATGTAGTTTATGAACTAGTCTAACTAGGTAATCATGGAAGACTGGAGGAAAGTCAGAGAGAAAGAAATCAAAGCTTCTAAATATGTATTTCAAAGCAGGGCAGCAGATGAGGACTTCCAAACTCTTTCTCAGCTTGGTTTTCACATTTGCAAAGACCTATCAAAAATTGTCCATCTGCCAATGCTTTTTCTATCCCACACCCTCTAGCCTTGATATGGTACTGTATGTTTTTAGAATACTGCTTACTTCAACTGACAGCTTTTTTTTTAAATAGACCCATCAGGAGTGCTAGAGCTTTAATTCATCTTCACACTTTAAGTGTCTGTCAGACGTCAAGTCATTCTAACTCCTGTGAGGAAGTGTCACTGTAAAGGAAACTGGTTGTAGCATGCCACTTGACCTTAGGGATTCAGTCTTCAGGGATTCTTGAAAGTTATTCCAGAGTGACTTTTTTCCCAAGCCACATGGTCTCCTATTTTCATTGAAAAAAAGTAATTCAAGAAAAAACAAGATGAAAGTATGAAAAAATGTCCATTTTGGTCTGGAGATGAACCTGTATTATCCAAGAAACAAAACATGGAATCAGCTTCCTTAGGGTTGATTAACCGCACCAACCATCAAATGGGTTTCAGTTAAAGTAGAGGCAATGTACTGTACTATGTGCCCTCATGTGCATTTGCCATTGATAGTGGCAGGATATACAGGCCACTTGTGTTTGTCTATCTTACAGTTTTTCTTTTGCTCAAGTGACTCATTTTATTTTAAAGTTATCATACAAAGTTATGGGTCTCATA